GACTGGTCTTGGCGACGGGTGGGCCGTCAACCAAGAGGGGCAGCTCGACCGGGAGCAGTCTGTCGACTTGCAGTTCGACCGCGAGGTCGACGAAGCAGTCCGTCGACCTGACAAGTGAGCAGCGGTCGACAAGGCGAGCTCGGCAACAACCGCTGATGGTTCTGGTCGACGGAAGGGGTCCGTCGACCAAGGGGTAACTCGATGGGAGCTGTGGTCGAACAAGGGCACCTGGTGGTCGACCAGAGGGACCTGGTGGTTGACCAGAAGCGGCGGTGGTCGACCGGAAGCACCTGGTGGTCGGCCAGGTCGACCGGGTAACCTGCTCGACGAGTTCTGCGGAGGGACGCGAACGTCATTGAGGTCGCGATGGCGCAGGCGACTGCGGGGTGGTATCTCGAAGTCGATGTGGCTCGTTAGGCGCAGACATCAGCCGACGGATGTCCAATGAGGCAAGTCGGGCCAATCGTCTGCGCGCATGTGCGAGCGTGCGCACTGATGTTCTACGGGGCAACGCTGGTCAGCCGCTCTGCTGCAACGTTGGCACGCCGTCGACCTGCTCTGTTGGTAGGTCGCCTTTCCGCAGTGCTGGCACGGCTCCTCTACGCAACGCTGGCAGGCGGTCGACCAAGCTGTGCTGGCGGTCGACCAAGCTAGCTGCAGGGTTGCAAGGTGCATGATGTAGTCATTGTTGTCATTGCTTGTTCTATCATTCTGGAATTCCAACTTTGCTAATGGAAACTCTTGCCGATTTCTCCCGTGAAAGTGCAAGCACTAAGGAACCAACCAAAGCTACGATCACTCATAGTAGTTTGTGCGAACCCCCGTAGTAGCTCACTACCGTTGTGTAGTGACTCTCCGTAGCGGTCCTGCAAGGTGCTTCTCCGACAGCAGGGGGTCATCTCGGAGGCCACCCTTTGCGCCGCTCTTCTCGTCGAACAAAGGGATATGAATCAGCAGCGACCAGCGCTGCGACGAGACAAGGAACGCTTTTCCTTCTACGCCGACAATACAGAAGAGCGACGGCCACGGCGCCTTTACTGCAAGCTTTGCAGAAAATTTGAGCATCTGGCAGATTGATGCAAGTCCTGATCTCGCCCTCGCCAGACCAATCCGAGCAACTGGTCCGGCCGACAAGACGCATGGAGCGATTTGCGTCCCGCCCAAGGGTATCAACCCCCATCGCGCAACTTGAACCCAATGGTTCAGCACCAGCAGCAGCAGCTGTCACAGACTGCCCCCGACCGCAATGTCATGGCAAACATGACAATGACGAGCGCATCACGTCGCCCCCGCATGCGCTCACCATCACCTATGCCGGCGCTTCACCCAATCGGAGCGTTCTCAAACAACAACCCGTTCAGCACGCGTCATGTCTTCAGCGACGACGACAAACAGGACTGGAATCTCCCAGTCCCGCTGCTTGAGAGCCCACCGCACGTACCTGACATGCGGCCGGCGCCAATCGATTGGATCGCGCGTGAAAAGTTTCTGAAAGTTGACACTCCGTATATTGTTCCTCCGCAATTGGCGCTGCTTGCGCGTAACGACAACAGGCGCTACAATACGTGGTACCTGGATAGCTGCTGTGGACTGCACATGGTGGGCTCCGAGCGTTACATATCCAACGTTGTCGCCACCCCCGCCGTCACCTACGTCACTGTAGCAAACAATACACGGCTACGCGTAAGCGCACAAGGCATCGTCGTGCTCAAGGCATATGGGAGCAGAACGCACATCACTTTGAATGACTTGTTGATTGTGCAGAATCTACGCTTCAACCTACTCTCGGCGGCGCAACTAATGGACTGCGGAGTTGTCCTAAGCACCGACCCCGAGACGCGCGACATCCTGCTCCACTTCACGATGCCGAACAAGATGCGCAAGCAGACCGGACGAGCACACGCCGAGAACGCAATGTACATTCTCGACTTTGATATTCCTGACTGCAGCGGCGATTCGCAGGAGCTGATTGACCTTGTCCCCCTGCGCTTCGAGCACATTCATCGCCAAGACTGGAAGCACCCTGATAGGCGCCCATGGGTGCCGCATCACCCACATCCGCGCGAGCTGGCGCTGCATGACCCTGACCCAGACGGCGTCTGCAGGGACTGCCACACCCCCACATCCTCGACGAGCGCGATTGCCGGCCGCGGGCTTGCCGCCATCATCGAAGCCGAACGTGACGCACCGCCTGAGCAAGGACTGTCCAACCTGGAGCTGGAAACCGCGACCCGTGTCGTCTTCGGCACGCCGGAACACCCACTCCCCGGACCCGCATCCCAACACCTCCAAAGGATGCTTCGCGGCGTTGGCATTGGCACCTTCGTTTCACACGACACACCACGACCCTACACCAAGGAAAAGGCGAAGAGGAGAGCGCCTCCAACGAAGGGGGGTGGGGGGGCGCCGGCGGATGGGGAACAAGCGACACCAGCAGCTGGGGAACAGCAATTGTCGAGAACATCAGCGGATGGGGCGCCGCACATGGCGGCGAAACAAGCGGCTGGGGCACATCAAGTGAAGGATGGGGATAACTCGCGATTGTCCCTCTTGGTCGCCCACCACGCCACTCTGCATCTGCCTTACCTCCCCCTGACATCTAGCCGGAGCGCAACCCCTGGGACACCATTGATTGGGGCAACGAACCATCTACTCCGCGACGCACTGTCTACGGAACTGCCCCGAGCCGCGCGAGCCGATATTAGTCCTCAAAACGATCCCAGGGACCAACATCCCCTATTCCATCATCCGCGACAAGGAATTCTTTGCCCTGATGCTAACGACTTTAAACGAAGAAGGAGAAGAAGATGAGGAACCAGCGGCGGCACCTGTTCAAGCACCTGACAAGGATCCTGCAGAAGCACTCGCGCGCTACATGCGCACTTCTGGATGCCGCGCTGACGATGCCATCTGGCACCAGCGCCTGGGTCACCCCTCACACGTGACTCTAAAGAATTGCATTCAGGCCGGTGTATTCGCTCCTGACGCACTCCTGCGCCCTGACGGCACCGAAGTACGAGGCGAAACACACCCGCGCAACTGCATCGTCTGCCCCAAAGCCACGCTAAGCCACCGATCGTTTCCCCTGCTTGACCCAGGAACCAATCGCTACGCTAAACTGGAGAAAGACTACAGCGACTTCCTCAACGTGGGACACTGCGGAATCGACGATGAGCTATACACGTGTGCGGCGCCCCATCCGCTGGTGTGTCAAACTATATATATGTTAGTTCTGTGTAGGCTATAGTGGGGTAGCCCATATGGGGTACAACCCGACGTTAGGGTTAGTACTTGTACCCACATTTCATTCAATGCATTCCTACTTGATGTCTTGACAACACGCTCACCTTCATCGACGCCGGAACGCGCTACGTGTGGGTCGTAAATATGGAGGCACGCAGCAGAGCATACGAAGCATTCCGCCTATAGCTGGCCCACGCGCAGCGGCGATCTGGGGAGAAGTTAAAATTCAGGCAGTCTGATGGCACAGCGGAATTCAGGAGCAAGGAGTTGCAGGAATACCTTGCGCAAAAGGGGATCGAGCATCACATCTCTCTCCCCTACACGCATCAGCAGCAAGGCGTAGCTAAGCGCACAAATCGCAAGCTCATGACCAAGGTGTGCGTACTGATGAACCAGTCGAAACTTCCGCCAATCTACTAGACGTACGTGATGCACCACGCTGTGCAGGTGCACAACCTGCTTTCAACTACCGCGATCACTGGCAACCTATCCCCTCACGTGAAGTGGACGGGGACCAATGGGAACACCTCCATGTCAAACTTATATGCTATAGTCTTTCTAGGCTATAGTGGGGTAGACAGTATGGGGTACAGCTTTCTAGGGTTTCATATTTGTACCCAACTCATTTCCTAGTTCATTCATTCCTCATTTCTTCACATGGTATAGAGCAGGTTCCCTAGTGGGAACTTTTCCTTGGGCCCACCACTAAAAAAAAAATTCTGCCCTGAGATCGAGTCGCCCCTGACCGAGGCGCGTTCTGTGGGCCGCCCTCCCCATAGCGGCCCGTCGCGCCGCCCTTAGCGGCCCCACTCACGGCCCCGTCGCCACCCTTAGCGGCTCCGTCGCCGCCCCTTGCGGCCCGGCCACCCTCTCACGGCCCCGTCGCCGCCTCCGCGGCCCACCCGCCGCCCTTCGCGGCCGCATCGCCGCCCTTTCGCGGCCCCGTCGCCGCCCTCCAAGCGGCCTCGTCGCCGCCCTCTAGCGGGCCCGCCGCCGCTCTTCAGCGGCCCCGTCGCCACCCCACTGCAGCCCCGTCGCCACCCTCTAGCGGCCCCACCGCCGCCCTCTAGCGGCCCCGTCGCCGCCCCACTGCGGCCCCGTCGCCGCCCTCTAGCGGCCCCGCCGCCGCCCCTCAGCGACCCCGTCGCCGCCCCACTGCGGCCCCGTTGCCGCCCTCTAGCGGCCCCGCCGCCGCCCTTCAGCGGCCCTGTCGCCGCCCTACCGCAGCCCCGTCGCCGCCCTCTAGCGGCCCCGCCGCCGCCCCTCAGCGGCCCCGTCGCTGCCCTCTAGCGGCCCCGCTGGCGCCCTTCAGCAGCCCCGTTGCGGCCCTACAGCAGCCCAATCGCCGCCCTCCAGCGGCCTCATCGTCGCCCTACAGTGGCCCCTTCACCGCTCTGTGCGGCCCCTCACCGGCCCTGCCGCTGCCGTCGCTGAGCCGCCGCAGCTGCATCCGAGCCGCCGATCTGCCAAGCCGCCGATCTGCCAAGCCGCCACCGAGCCGCCGAGCCGCCGCCGAGCTGCCGGGCCGCCGCCGAGCCGCCGCCGAGCCGCCAAGCCACAGCCGAGCTGCCGCCGAGCCGCCGCCGAGCCGCCGAGCCGCTACTGAGCGGCCGAGCCATCACCGCCGCGGCTGCGGCCCTGTTCCTGCCGGCGCGCCTCGGCCCTCCCCACCCGGACAGATAAGAGCTTTCCCGAGCAGCGTCTCTGCCACTGCACTACCTCTAGCCTGCCACTCTCACCACTAGACTGCTGCTGTCATGGCTACCCCTAGTGTCCTTACCTTTGATGCTGAGGTTCGGGCTGTTGACTTTGAGGTCTGGGTCGATGACTTGCAACTTTTCCTACAGTGCGATAGGGCAGCCGGTTTCTCCCTTTTCGATCTCACGTCTGGTGCCTCTCCTGCCCCGCCTGCTGATGCTGATGCCACTGTTCGCTCACAGTGGGCCACGCGCGATGCTGCTGCTCGCCTTGCTGTGCGCCGCCACTTACCGATCGCTGAGCGCGCGCACTTTAGGCAGTACAAGAGTGCTAAGACCTTGTACGACACTGTCGTTGCACGCTACTCTTCCCCTGCCACTGCAGCCCTTAGCCGCCTCATACTGCCGTACCTCTTCCCTGACCTCGCCGCTTTTCCCACAGTCGCTGACCTCATTACGCACCTACGCACTAGTAACATTCATTACCGCGCTACGCTTCCTGCTAAGTTCTGCGCCAAGAACCCCACCCCTTTGTACATCACCCTCTACTACATAGTCACCCGGCTCCCTGACACCCTTCGCTCGGCCAGGGACCTCTTCCTCTCTGTTTGCCCCACCACCCTCACCGTAGACCTCCTCGAGGAGCGCCTCCTAGCAGCAGAAAAGAGTATCGTTGTTTTAGGAGCCTCTCGTGGTGACCCTCGTACCCCTATCTTTGAGGGGTGCTCCCCCTCCCCCCTCTTGCCCTCTGTTGCCTCTGCTACTGCGGCCGACCTCGTTGGTCTTGAGTCGGTCGGCGCGGCGTCTGCCCCTAGCGCGAGATGTCGCCCAGGCTAGGGCAAGGGGGGCAAGGGCGCTGGAGGGGCTGGCGGGGCCGGTGGAGGCGGCAGTGGAGGCAGCAGAGGGAGTGGGGGTGGCGGTGGGGGTGGTGGCGGGAGTGGGGGCGCTAGTGGCGGCAGTGGAGGCGGAAGAGGCGGCGGTGGTGGCGGTGCGAGTGGAGGTGGTGGAGGTGGAGGCGGTGGTGGAGGTAGCGGCAGCGGAGGTGGAGCTGGTCGTGGCGGCTCTTCGCAGAGTGTCCGCTCCGGTGGTGGTCAGCGCCAGCAGCAGCGCACTCGTGAGACCCCTTCCCCCCAGCAGCTTCGTGAGTGGTACACTACTCATCAGTGGGGTAGGGGTGCTGGCCCCTGTACCTACGTTCTACGTACAGGCGACCGCATGGGTGAGCAATGTGCGGGTCCGCACTGCACCCAGCGCTGCTTCGGCCGCGTGACGGACGCTTGGCGTCATCAGTTCCCTGACGCTACTGAGATCCCTCACTGTGGCGAGCTGTCTAGGGCGGGTGCTGCGATCTTTGATCTTGATTATGATGCTATTCTTGCTGCAATGTATGCTGTGACTATTAGTGATGAGGGTGACTGTTACCGGTGTTTTCCGCCTGACACGGGCATTGAGACTGCTGCTCTAGGTGCCGGTGAGGCTGCTGCTCTAGGTGCTAGTGCGTCTGCTGCTCCAGGTGCTGGTGAGTGTGCTGCCCCAGGTGCTGGTGAGTCTGCGCTCTCAGGTACCGCGTCAGCTCTGGCCACCCGCACCTTCACCCTTGACTCGGGTGCTTCCCGCTCCTTCTTTCGAAACCGCACTACGCTTACACTACTTAGTCGGCCAGTGGCGGTCTCCCTGGCAGACCCCTCTGGGGGTCCTGTCCTTGCCCACTTGCCCCCTCTGGGGGTCCCTGGCAGACCCCTCTGGGGGTCCTGTCCAACGCCGTTGGAGGGGTTGGTGTGAAAGTGTCGGCCAGATCTGGGGAGACGGATTGGGCAACTGCACACCGACGTTTGGGGCATGTGGCAATGCCTTTGCTGAAGCAGCTGGAGAAGGATGGAGCCGTTAAGGGCTTGAAGCTGAACGGACAACCACCCGATGATAACTGTGAAACTTGCCTCCTTTCAAAGTTCACCCGTTTCCCCTTCCATAGTGTGGCTGGCAGGAGCAAAAAGCCGTTGGAGCTGGTCCACATGGACTTGGTGGGGCCGCTGCCGGTGCAAGGGCACAAGAAGGAGCGGTATTTCCTAACCATAGTGGATGACTGGAGCAGGCTAATGTGGGCGTGTCCACTGAAGCAGAAAGATCACGCCGCCTCTACGATTCGGGACGATTGGCTGCCATTCATGGAGAAGCAAGCGGAGTGTGTCGTGAAGCGGATTAGGATAGATCGGGGTGGTGAGTTCCTTGGAGCTGAGATGACGGCCTGGCTCAAGAAGCAGGGCATCTAGAGGGAGCTGACCACGGCTTACACCCCACAGTCCAACGGTGTAGCAGAAAAGGCGAACCGGACAATTCTCGAGACAGCTAGGGCGCTGCTCATAGAATCTGGGCTGGGCAACTTGATGTGGCCCCATGCTGTTTGGCACGCTACTGTCGCTAGGAACAGGGTACTCACAAAGGTTGGGGATGACTCGTGGGTGCCGTTGGAGAGGTGGCTTGGGAGGAAGCCGCCGGTGGACATTGTGAGGGTGTTCAGTTGCATGGCAGTCGCCCACGTCCCCAAGACCTACCGCAGTAAGTTGGGGGCGAGTGCAATCTGGTGTGTGCATTTGGGACTGGCTGCTGAGAGCAAGGGATGGCTGCTGTGGGATCCTTCCAAGGGTGTGTTGTTTGACAGCAGGGATCTGAAGTTTGTTGACGGCATGATGTATGGGAGCTGGGAGAAACAGCCGGAGGCTAGGGTGTCCCAGTAGATGGAGCAGATCACCATGCAGCTGGACCTGACTCCTAGTGTGTGGGAGGAGGGAGAGGAGGCAGCTGTAGATGGTGGTGATGGATGAAGTTCTCCATCAGTTGCTGCTGCACCTTCTGGATCTCCTTCATGCTGCTGCTAAAGAAAAGAATGTCGTCCACATAGACCAGAAACAGCACCAGCTTCTCCCCCTCCCCCTTGAGAAAGAGGCTCTCATCACAGCTGCTGGTCCTGAATCCCATCTCCTCTAAAACAGCTGCCAACTTCTGGTACCAGCAGCGTGGCGCCTGCTTCAAGCCGTAGATGGACTTTTTCAGCTTGCACACCCTGCCCGTACCATCCTCATACCCAGGTGGCTGCGTCATGTACACGTCCTTCTCTAAAATCCCATTGAGGAATGCCGTTGATATATCCATCTTGATAATGAACTTCCTACTAACGGCAGCATCTGCAACAAGACACGAAGGGTAGGGGTTTTGGCAGTGGGAGCAAAGATCTCATTGAAGTCCTGCTTCTCCTTCTGCATAAACCCCTTAGCCACCAACCTACCCTTGTAGATGGTGACCTGCCCCTTGTCGTCAGTCTTGATCCTTAGCACCCATTTGCATTGTACCGCTTTCTTTCCCTGAGGCAGCACCACTAGTTCCCAAGTCCCATTCTCCACCAGGCTCTGGTACTCAGCATCCCTAGAAGCTAGCCATTTGTCCCTATCTGGTCCTGCTAATGCCTCCTCCATGCTAGCTGGTTCCTCTGGTGCAGGGGCAAGAAAACAGTACCCAGGCTCATCCTCCTCATCCGGGTCATAGCCATGCGCTAGAATCAGCAATGCCTCCTCGGTCCTAAGCTGCTGCTCAGCTACATCAGCTCCTGCAGTCAGCTTCTTAGTAGCCATACGGGTACGTCCTGGCCTGGAGACGGGTGTCTCCCATCCCTTCATAACGACACCCTTCGGCTTCTTAGTTTTTCCCTGCTGCTGCTCTCCTCCCTCGGATCCAGCAGCTCCACTAGTGCTACCGCTAGTCTCCACACCATCACCTCCACCAGCAGGTGCCTCCTGCACCTTCTCTTTATCACCACCCTCTGCAGCTGCCTCCTCTCCCTCCTCCCACACACTAGGAGTCAGGTCTAGCTGCATGGTGATCTGCTCCATCTACTGGGACACCCTGGCCTCTGGCTGTTTCTCCCAGCTCCCATACATCATGCCCTGAACAAACTTCACATCCCTGCTGTCAAACAACACACCCTTGGAAGGCTCCCACAGCAGCGATCCCTTGCTGTCAGCAGCCAGCCCCAAATGCACACACCAGATTGCACTCGCCCCCAACTTACTGGGGTAGGTTTTGGGGACGTGGGCGACTGCCATGCAACCGAACACCCTCAGCATGTCCACCGGCGGCTTCCTCCCAAGCCACCTCTCCAACGGCACCCACGAGTCATCCCCAACCTTTGTAAGTACCCTGTTCCTAGCGACGGTAGCGTGCCGATCAGCATGGGGCCACATCAAGTTGCCCAGCCCAGATTCTATGAGCAGCGCCCTAGCTGTCTCCAGAATTGTCCGGTTCGCCCGTTCTCCTACACCGTTGGACTGTGGGGTGTAAGCCGTGGTCAACTCCCTCAGGATGCCCTGTTTCTTGAGCCAGGCCGTCATCTCAGCTCCAAGGAACTCACCATCCCGATCTGTCCTAATCCGCTTCACCACACACTCCGCTTGCTTCTCCACAAATGGCAGCCAATCGTCCCAAATCGTGGAGGCGGCGTGATCTTTCTGCTTCAGCGGATACGCCCACATTAGCCTGCTCCAATCATCCACTATGGTTAGGAAGTACCGCTCCCCCTTGTGCCCTTGCACCGGCAGCGGCCCCACCAAGTCCATGTCGACCAGCTCCAACGGCATTTTGCTCCTGCCAGCCACACTATGGAAGGGGAAACGGGTGAACTTTGAAAGGAGGCAAATTTCACAGTTATCATCGGGTGGTTGTCCATTCAGCTTCAAGCCCTTAACGGCTCCATCCTTCTCCAGCTGCTTCAGCAAAGGCATTGCCACATGCCCCAAACGTCGGTGTGCAGTTGCCCAATCCGTCTCCCCAGATCTGGCCGACATTTTCACACCAAACCCTCCAACGGCGTTGCACTCCCCCTGGGATGCAGACCCCTCTCCAGCCTGCCCCCCACCGTGCCACGCCAGCGCCGGCAGCCGCCACATAGATCTGTACACGTCCTTGCTCTCGTGCAGATCCCAAAGCACCCGATTGCCCAGCTGCCCCTTATATGTGCGTGCCCCATCCGTGCTAGTGCTCACCCCAGCCTTGCCAAGCTTACGGAGGGAGATAAGGTTTGCCTTCAGGTCGGAGACGAGGAGAACGTCGTGCAGCACCACCGGCTTGCCATCCGCTCCCTTAAACGCAGCTCGTCCCGCACCAGCCACCTTCAACATGTGTCCAGAGGCGGAGCACACCTCGCTGATCGGTGCAGCTTGTACGTGGTCCAGTAGGTCTTTTCGCGGCGTCATCGTCCAAGCAGCGCCCGTGTCCAACACCTAATAATCCAGGGGGTGCAGCTCTGCTCCAACCTTGGCAGAGGCGTCTCCTTGCTCCCCCTTGTCTCCCCTATGGAAGAATTGGCCCGCGGTGCGCTCCTTCTTCTTCTCCGCACCGCCGTTGCCCTTCGGGTTGTTGTCGGACGAATCAGCGACCATGTTGGCGCCGTTTTTCTGGTTCCTCCGTGCGCCGCCATCCTGGTGACGATTCTGGGGGGTCCATCCATCGGGTTTCTTATAGCACAAAAACCAGGGGTGTCCTTCCTTCTCACAATACCAGCAAATCCCTTTCATTTTGCCACCAGCACCCGACTTGCCCCCACGTCCAGATTTCGCACCGCGACCCCAACCGGTACCTCCTTGTTTGTCGTTGGAGTCGTCGTCTTTCTTTGCACCGCGTCCAGCACCACCGAAGCCACGTCCTTTGCCACGTCGGCTCCCTTGCATCCCGTAGCCGCTGCTGCCGTCGTCTCCACTTCTCAGTTGGCGGCGACGGAAGTCCTCCTCCAGAATCTTCGTCCGCACCCACTCGAGCGTCCATAAGCTCTGGTTCTGCGGCAGGCTCAATCCGCTCGTGAATTGAAGCCACGATTCCGGCAGCAGCGAAAGCATCTTCAGGCACTTGGTCTGCTCTGGGTAGGTGATTCCCGCGATCGCCAGCTTCGCGTAGAGATCACGCATCTTGTCCAGGATGGGTTGCACCGGCTCTCCCTCGCTTAGGCGCAACGCGGACAGCTCCCCTTCCATCATGACCGTCGCACAACGGAGGTAGGGGCGTGCAGCTCCTTCAACACGGTCCACGCCTTCGGACCGCACTCAACCTCCGGCAGCAGGTGCATGATGTGGTGACGCTGGTTCAGCTCCAAACTCTGCGACATCAAGTAGTAACCAGCCGAGGCATGCTCGTCCCAATCTTCCTGAAGGGCGGGGTCACTCGGTCTAGGCTCCTCCCCAATCATTAGTTTCAGCAAACCGATCTGACGGAAATAAAGTTGCATTTTCCAGGCCCAATCGTCATAGCCCTCACCATTGAACTTCTCGACGGTGAAGTTTTTCAGCACCTCCTTGATCAGCGTGCCCTGGCTTGTTCGCGCTCCCCTCGGCGCTGAAACACCAGAATCATGGCTGCCGCTACGATCTTGGGCTGAAGATTCACCAGCTACCTCCGAGGTGTTGCCCGCCATAGCTACCTATATCGAGGATCACTATAACGCAGCTCTGATACCAGCTTGTTGGTGTAAGGGCCTAATAAACTCAAGCTATTAAGACTTTATCACACTTAAAACCTCTCCTCGGGGTCACCTCCAAGGGTCCTTGGGTGCCTGGTACAAGACCAGCCCCTATCCCCGGGTCCGAGTTTGTAGAGAGAGGGATCAAGAGAGACTAAGTCAAAACAGCAAGAGTACCTTGAACGTCGCGCAGCGTATCGTGCAGACCGTTGATCAAACTAAGCTGAGATTTTCCTATATCGAAGCTCACTCTAAGAGCTTTAAAATAAGCCAAGTTGCCTCG